TAATTTATTTAAAAAAAAAGAAGAGAGGATAGAATCCTTTGTAGTTTTGAAAGTTAAGCAGCTTTCCAGACATGATGTATTACTCACAATGCACCAAATACAGCTTACCAAGTCAAAGATACATGACATACCTTTTTTTCCCAGCTTTGCTTATTTTTTTTTAAATTAATTTTTAACACATGACATCTCCAGGACAATTCCTACTATCTCATACAGGAGAGGCAGATGTAAATCTTGCTGGGTTCCTTCCTAGCAAAGATGATCTCTATGTGAGGATCTCTAGATATAATGTATATCTGAAAATATATTAACAACAACAGGTCAACCTGTTTAAAGAAAGAATGAAACCATGTGAATGAAGGAGCAGTGCTGAGCAATCTGCTGAACATATGGGATCCTTGGAGTCTTGGACTGTGTGACAGAGCTTCACCAGCACAGATAAGGTTGGAGGGGTGTTGATAATTATTAGAGACATAGCTGGTGTAGCTGGAGTGACAGAATCCCTGTGACAAATGCAGCAAAAAGCCATAGGAGGAAATCCATATGTCAATTCACCTTAGGTTGTTTGCAGAAGCAATCAAAGTATCTTGGCAGAAAACCTTCCATCATACTTTGATTTTGAGTACTCTTCCAGCACAATTTACTGGTATCCCTATGATAGCTAAGACTGCTTGTGGCAGATGAGATTGCAATCAAAAACAATGCAATTAACTTGTTGCTGAAAATTTGTCTTCCTTATTTAAAAGAATTGCTAAGGTTTTGTGTTGTTTTGGTTTTTGTTTGGGGGTTTTTTGTTGGTTTTTTTTCAATCTGTGAATTTAGTAATTGGAGAATAATTTTGCTGCTTCCGACAGCTTTTGATTGACACTGTGGGGAGGAAAAAATGGATTTTTTTTTTTACAGTTAAGAGTAAGCTCTCTGCTCTTATATTTTGAAGCTTGTCACTTTTATAAAGTTTGTGTCATTTAGCTTCCAGTCATTTTGGGTGCTGCTTACTTACACCTGAGAACGATAGGAGATGTTAAGGAAGACTTCCAGTGGAAGCAGAAAACTGAAATGTATTAACTGGGTGGTGATTCTCCCTCACATGACCAGAAGCAAAACAAACTGTTTGGCTTTTGGCTCTGCCTGCTACTAAACACCCTGTCATAGTGTGTGAGGTGAGTCATGACTTGTTTATTTATAGCCGTGGCCAATCAAAGCCGCCCGCTCTGAACTTCATTCAAGACCAGCAGGCACTTTAGGATGTCTTGTAAACATTTGCCCTCTGAGCAAGGAGTGCTCTTCCTGGCAGCGAGCAGCACAGGTGCCTGGCTGGTGGCTCCTAAAACACAAACCAGACTGGAAGATCGTTGCCTGGATTATCTAAATTGGTAGAGAGAGAGAGAATTCGTTTTTACATCTGAAATGTCAGACAGTGAGGACCTGGGACAAGATGACAGGTACTGTACACTGCTTGCGATGGCCTTCTCGTGCAGCACAGCAAGGGCTGAGGCTTCATGTAATTAATCTGTGTGTGCTGCTGAGTGCTCAGCCTGAGATCAGTTTCCTCTGGCTTGTAACACGTCTGATTCTTGAGGTGTTTGCCTCTAATGCTAACCTAAGGCTTCTTAGAAAAGAAGTGTTAGGTCTTCATGTCTGCATAGCGGTTAAATTGTACAGCTCTTAGGTATTTCTTAAACTGAAGCTGAGGGGAAGAAAATACTGTGTGGTTTCTACTTTGTCACTTTTCCCAACCATGGGACAACTTACAAGCCTCAAAATGTCAGGCACGGAAATAGTTTAATCGGAGCCACGCTAGGGACAGAACCATAACTCACTTCTATGAGATAGGGCACTGTGTCCCTTTGAGGTATGCCTGTCTTTCTCAAGTTTAACTTTTATCTTAATTAGCTTAGAAAACCAACAGTCAGGACAAGAAGAAATACTTGGATCTAAAACTTGATAACAATTTAACAAATACTATTTTCTCAAATACGATCCAGCACATTGCTATGAAATAAATGCACTAATTAAATTTAGCTAAACAGATTTTAAAATAGGTATTTTAAAAGTACATGTTATTGATGTTTGGCTATGACAGAGTTTATAGTCCAGGTTTCTAAAAGCCCACATGATCTTTCCATAGTCTTTATGTTAATCCAAATGTTGACTCTAAAATGGTGTTAATGAAATATTTGATACTGCAAAAAAGTATTTGTCATGTATGTAGAAATATACTTCTTTTTTAGAAGTTAGTTAGCAAAATGCCAGAATATAGAGGCAAATCTAAAAAATTAAAAGGATCAGAAGTGAGCATTTCATTATGGCTTCAGATTTGATTTCTTGTAGTTTGATTTAAACTCGAACGTATATATGGATGCTTCTTCCAATATGTATGTCAGAGTGTTGTTGTGAGATAGATGAAATACAGTAGACACTTCTGGTTGTCTCATGTAGAGCAGCATATTCAGGCACAGCCACCTCACTGGATGAGTGTGGGTGAATGGATCCCCAGTGGCATAATTGGGTCTCTGCAGGGGTGTGGTCACCTACGCATTTCCGTTTGCAGGGATATCACAGTTGCACCCCATAAATGACATAGATTAAAATTAATTGTAGTAGCAGGTAGCATTTTTCTTTTCTTTGAAGGAAATATGGACTCATTCCTGATAACCACCAAAGTTTTAATTCCTATACTTTAAAAAACTGTTAGTGAGGTCTTGTTTGTTCCGTTGTATATTTTTGATAAAGGAATACAGAAATATGTGTGACACATTGAAGAAAAAAACAAAAGAGGTTTCTACTTTGTAATACCTAATTTATTTTGTTCATAATTTTTTCTCTATAAAGGCTTGTAGCAAGTTTCGGCAGTGAAACAGAAGTAAAACTAGACCTAAAACTCTAAGACTTCTTTTTCCATCAGAGTTGTTGAGGGCTTTTTTTTGTTTTTAAACAAAAAGGATGAACTCTTCTGAAGCAGTAACCTGAAAAGAGTGGTTACAGGGCCTGCTCTCCCTGTTTATCATTTTTGAAACCACCATTAAATTAATTGACCCTGATCCTACTCCCTCATCTTTCTGTGTCTTTGCTACTGAGCAAAAAGGTTTGAGAATGTGGTTTAATCAAAAAGTTCCAGGTTTTTTTCTGACATTAATTTGCCTTTTTCTCTTGTCATAACAAATAGGATATAACTGGAAAACATTCCTACAGAAAGGCTAATTGGATGGAGGTCAGAATATTGTGGCCCAAGTTAAACAAAGGGGAATAGAAGGAGGTACTATAGGAACTATGCTGGACCAATATGAGAAATGTGCTGGAGCAATTAGTCTTAGAATGGCAAAAGAAAAATCGTAATGTAAATGCACAGATAATGGGGTGATTTTAAGGGCACACTGAATCAAAGCTTCAGATTTATTTTTTTAAAAAGGAGAGCAGTGGTGTTTTTGTAGAAGGTGCAGAATGAGCTTTGTTCCCTGATCAGTTTCAGTGCACTGCACTCCTTACAGCTCCTTCTCAGGTGCAAATACTTCATACATCCTCTTCCCTCTTGAGTTCATGTCCTACTTCAGAAATATGTAATACTGTGTCATAAGTGTGTTTCATGAACATTGTTACATCATAGTTAAATATGTGGCATTGGTCAATAGTCTGTTAGTCATACTGTGAACTCCATAATAAGCAGAGGAACATATGCACAAATACTTCTTAGGCTAGTGAAAAAAAGCTGAGAGCTGTGAAGATAAGGTACCCACTCATATCCCACTCAAAGCAGATGAAGAATAGTGAGGAAATATGTGACCAAAGGTGGAAGATTGAAAATAATTTAGCATAAGGAGGTATTTCCCCCTGTAATTCTTTATCATCAGGTCCCCTACAGTTTTGGTGTAAGATGGTATAATTTTTTAAAAAATAGAAATAAAAAAATTGGCTACTCATGAGTAACCTAATAATGGTTATGAATGTATGAAAGGTTCTGTGAACAATCACTCCTGCAGTAGTGGAAAAACATGGCTTTAGGTGCTTCAAAGAGATACCAGTGTGTAACTTCCTCTATCAGAACAATGTCTGTGTTGTTCTAATCGCTGTCACCTGCCTGTTATTGAAAAGGATGGTGCACTGAACTGTCAGCCAGGAATCTTCTATGACTGGAATGAAAATGGGAGGGAAAACTATGTTATTTTGAACTACAGTCTTATAGTGCTATAGACCTTTCTCAGCAGGTGCTTCGACTTAGAAAAATGGAGATCCCGTTTCAAGTCAAACCTGCATGTTATTTAATTACTCAAGGCATGTTGATTTGTAATTATAGAAGAATATTTGCTGCTTCTGCTAGTACTAGTTAATAAAATATAAAAGATTTTGTTTCCTTTTGTGATTCTCTACACAAATGTAGGCAACAAGTTGTTAGCTCACACCAGGAACTCCAAATAACACAGTAATACATCAGAGTAAGTGATAACCTACTCCTACAAAATGCATTAAAACACATTGAAAGAGTCAGCATGAAGTTCTGCACAGAAAGACCTAAAGCCATCTTGTGATGTTACACAGAAAGCTGTTTTCATGTTTTTGCAGGTTAAAAGTATTCTTTGACACTTGGAAATCCAGTTTTCCTTTTTGGTGCAGCTGCTCTGCAACTCAGGGAGTGCTCAGCTCATCTTTCCTTGCTGTTTGACTTTGAGAGGCCTTGAACTAGAGTATCCCAGCTGAAGAATGCAGAGGCTATAAAGGAGAAAAATGAATTGATTTTGTGAAAAAGGGTTAAAAGAGTTGCCTTTGCAGGAGAAAAGTGAATGTGAAGGAGTTGCTTCTAAGAGCTGGGCAGATCTGTTTACAGTTCTACAAATGGAACTTTGCATTCCTGTTATTTAGTAAGGAGTTTCCTTACTCTTCTGAACAAAAATAGTTCGATTAAAATTTCTCATTTGTCTAACCAGTATTCATTACAAATGGGAAGCTAACCTGGAAGATCCCAGCCCTAGTACTGCCTTGGTAAAAAGACAACAGCAGGCAGTAATAGCATTATAGTCATTGCTAAACATAAAACAAGTCTCTAATGGTATTTACATGGCACTGAAACAGTTGTCATGCAACTGTTTTAAAAAAATCTATGCTTATTGACTAAGTCATGAGTTGGGCTAATAGCACTGGACTATCAGATCACATTTCACATTGTGAATGACCTCAAACTGCAGTAGTAGCTGGTGTTCTTCTCGGGGGAGCTGGACGGGAGTAGCACAGGTCAAGGGAAGGGTTTCCCATGAGGGCCAACCTACCAGTCCTCTCTCTAGAGGAGCTGGACAGGGAAATGCCTCAAATTTGGAGTATATTTTGTTTATTTTAGCAGGACATTCAGCAAAAAGTGACAACATTTAGTACCATCTGCTATGCTGGGGGTCTTGTGTAGTGGAATCAGCTTTAGAAAAGCTAGAACTAGTCAGTTTATGTCTGATCAGCTAAAGAAAGACAATGCAGCTCCTTATTGAGACTTTAGAAGAAGACTGGTGTTATACCTGAATAGATGAGATGAACACATCCCCTCCAAAATAAAATCCTGGTAGTAATGGGTCGTTTTCTGGTTTGTTTTTTGTTTTGTTTTTTTAAGCAATCTGTAGGACAAGATTAGTTCCCCTATCTCTTTGCACTTCAGTGTATTTTTATAAGAACAGGATTGCTTCCATTTTCAGAAAAGTTTGTTCTTAACTAGTCATATAAACAGCAAAACCACCTTCATTTATAGGATTGTTATTGTTTAGCAGCACTCCAGTGGTAAAATGTTCCCATGTCAGTTAAAGAGAAGAGAATACCATTATGACTTCAGTTTAACACCCTGTGCAAGAAGGGCACAGAGTCAGAGATGAAAGATTGCTTATATTTTGTTGAAAGTCACACATCCAGACTGGTTTGCTATGCAGTCCGTTGAGAAAGATACATCCAGCTTCCTCATTTAGACATATTTCTTGTACAGTAATATTACTGAAAAATGTTCTTGGTCAAGAAATAAAAGGGGCCTGCATGTTACTGAAAACTGTGAAATAATATCCTTTTTCTCAGCTTTTTTTTTTTTCCACATATTTCCCTGAAAAAAAAATGTAGCAGCAAATTGGACTGACTCACTGCTAATAGCACAAAATTGAAGTGTGAAATGAAGATAGAGGAGGTCAGGAAGAAAACACTTTCAGAGTTTGAGAAGTAATGTTGCACAGTATTAACAGAATTCAATTAGTTCTCATAAATAATGTGTTTGAATACAGGAGATAGGATAATTAAAAGAGATTTGTGGATTGGGAAGTGTTGTTAATTACTCCTTAATATTGATAACTACATTCTCCAGCTTCAATTTCAAAACAAGAGCTGTCTGTATGTCTTAGAGATTGCAAGTGTGCCCAAGCCTTAGTGTTGAAGCGATAGTCAAATGTGATTGGTCAAAGGATGTTTGTCATAGCACTACATGTTGGTGAGCCTAAACATGTGCAGCACCTATGGATTAACAATGGGAAATAAAGTGCATATGGATATGAACAAGCTGGAGAGATTTCTATTAAAAAGCTTTGTAGAGTTTGTAGCTGATAGGCTGTAGATGCAGATTCTCTCTGAAGTCTGAGAACAGGGTGTATTTGTGGATGTTCCTGTACTGCCCTTTCTTTCACTGACACGGCATAGTTTTGTGGCAGTCTTTGAAGCAGGCAGGATTTTACATGGTGCCCCAGTGACTCATTTAAATTGCAGGTCTTGTTGACCTGGTCATAGCCACATGACACAAATATAATTATTTTTGTATACTTAATGATTGCATAGGATCCAAAAGTGGCACAGGATAGAACACAGTTTGACATAATCACCTTCAAAATTAGCCATGTAGGTCATTAAGATGTCATGCTGTGAGTTCAGTGGTGCTGGTCATTCTGTCTTTTCACGTAGTGCACATAACACTCAAAATTTGTTACATTGTGTTTCAATAAGGCTAATCAATAGTGCATTGTTTTCTACCACATAGTTCAGTAGTAGAAGTTAGAGGTTTTGCCATTGGCACTTTAATACATGTCATTGTAAATGTGCTTTTTACACTATTTCATATATTTTGGAGAGAAAAAGTGATGTTTATTTTCATTTTTAGTATGTGACCACCCAAAATTTATATGTAAAATAACTTTTTAATTATATATTTTTTTCACAAACTATTAAAATCTAAATACTGTTTTATATCCCTTTTCTCTGTACCTGAATAATTTAGAAGAAAAATTTCAGATTATATTTTTGGCTTAGTTCTTCAGGTATAAAATGTTTGCTTCAAAGAAAGCTAACTGCATCATTATAATCACTTCCTTCTGCACTGTGATGATTTCTTTCCTCACAGCAGAGACCTGGGAAAGCTCTGAAAAGGTAAATCTGCTTGACTGGGTTTTGCTAACAGTTCACACACTGCATTTCATTTGGTTGAGTTTCATGGTAAATTAATTTCTGGTTGCCTGTTTGTGTTGTTACACCATTCTTTAAGTTCTAAATATTACTTTTTGAAAAACCACAAAATAGCTGTATTCCCTATATTTTGATTTATGTATCTTTGGGAATGTAACTTTTAGCTCTTCCACCTTGACTAATACATTCTAAGCCACCCTTACAATTAGAGTCTGCACAGGCTTCAAGCGTGTGTGGTTACAGTTGGGAAATCAAGAGGGTTTAGAAGCTCTGTAATTACTAACTCTCTGTTTATGTAGATGCAGTCCTTCAGATCCACCACATCATGGTTTGTCACTGCTGCAGTTCTGAGTAGTGTATCTCCATGAAGATACATATAAAACTGCATACACATAATTGAAAAAAAGCCAACATGTCATGAAGAGATCTTTAAAGCAGTAACACGAGATCTGCTGACCTTTCTGAGAGAAATGTGATGGGGCTTTGCTTGAACAGATGTCTAGATACAAAATGAGAGCATGACACCATCGGTCACTTTTAGAGAATGTAATGCCACTGACTTCTGGCCAGAGTTTGTGACTGTGATCAGTGGAGGCATTTGGGCGGGAGGGTGTTTTGGGTAGTTTTTTTTGCAACTACTAGGCAACAGTTTATGTATTTGCTCAGTTTTAGAAATGATGCAGTAGTCAGAAGGATATGAGTAATTTATTTTCTTTCTGAACACCCTCAATCTTATTGACAGTAGTTTTAGAATGGACATGTAGCACTTTATATGAAGCTCAGAATAAGTGATGGGGTCATAAAAGTTTATTCTTTCTAAGTTGTGCACAAAAGCCTTTGGAGGTATTCAGAGAGAGCTGGCTGCTTATATCCCCAATGCAGCACCTGAACAGGAGTACCAAAAGCTGTTTTGGCAGGAAGTATACTGTTCAGGTTTAAGTCATTTATTAAGGTACTGTAAGTAACTACATTATTATTATGCCAAAATAGTTTTTATGTTCTTGGTTGACTGGTGTATTCAAGCACTCAACACTGATCATCTATACCACATATCTTCATTTTTATCTTTATGTCATTAAATGTGATCATTGAAAAGCTAATTCCTCTGGAATATGCATGTATGTGGCTATAGTAGAGCTGACAAAGGTGTCTTATGATTTCTTGTGGCCTACAAAAACCTACCAAGTATTCCTTTGTGGGGCTTAGTAGTGGGTTTGCAATGTTTTGAAGCAAACTACACCTGTAGCATCTACTCTTCTTACGTGTCTGCCTGTCAGTGTACCATATGTGGACCATGGGACCAATGGTTGTGATAGTACACTTTATCTGTGCTGCAGCTCATACTTTTAACAACTTGCTTAAACAAAGCATCGCTAACAACCAAATGAAGCACCTCCAGAGAACTTTCCCTGCAAATGTGTCATTTTTCTGCATAATTTGTATTTTTGCTTTGAGTTGTTACTAGTTATGCCACTGTGCCTTGTTATATCTCCTCTTCTTTAATCTATGTTGTCTTTATATTAGTGGTTAGTATATATGAAAATAGTTTGCATTACTATTATTATAATTTATGCTTTCATCTTTCCCCTCTCTCTTTTTTCTCTATTAACTTAAAATTAGTAAGGTGACTATCTGTAACTGTCCAAGTATTTCAAAGTGATTTGATAGTAGACATCAGGCCTTATCTATGTTCACTCTTTGTGCTTCCATAAAGTTTCACTTTGATTGTCAACAATTTTAAACAAAAGGTAGGAGTAAAACTCTGTAAAAGGATTTTGTAATTGAGAATACTGTTATAATAGTGGCTTTTGACACTGGAATAAACAGGCAGCTCTTAAAATACTTACTATTAATGCTGCAAAATGGTTTACAAAAGCTGGAAGCAGTGTTTTTTTAGGGGGAGTAGCCTATCCATAAAAATCACAGTTCCCGTAAGGCAAAACCTTTGTGCACTGCTTTTCTCAAGCTGCTAATTCTCAGAGATGATGGAAATTGGTATCTCCGTTGTGGATTGCAGACAGACATAAAGTTCTCTGTTACTTTGCTGATCCCTCCAGCTGGATTCCTGTAGAGATCTCCATGAGTTACGTGACGGTTCTATTTGCATCCTCTGTCAGCAGTAAATACCTGCACGTAGTGCCGTGCATGGCTGCAAAATTGGAAAAGTCACCTAGTCCAAGACATGGGTCTGTCGTCCTGTGCATTTCAGGTGCACTGTTTTAAATAGTCATTGGGTTTTTTTCTCGATGGGGAGGAAAATACTCAAGGTGAGGGTTTTTTTGTAATGTAAGAAGAAATCACACCTTGGCAATACTATAAATACTATAACAAAGTCGGGAATAGGGCAGTAAATCGGGTTTGGACTGTAATGCGTTTTGCTCCGAGGTTGAAATAGCAGTTTTTCCGTCGGTCGGTTCACTGCGGTGCCACCACCTCGTGGCCAAGGGGCCACACGGCCACCCAGGACAGCCAGCGAGAAGGGGAAGGGTCTCTGTGGGGGTGTGCCTAGACATTTTTGACCGAATTGTTCCTAACTTTTTACAGGAGGCTGTGTCAGATAAGAGTCTGCAGTTCCATCGGGCAGTCTGTGTGTGTGTCCTCACTGCTGCACACCCACCCTTGTACAGGCTCTTTTATCATCATACTGTAGATTTTGATTTGTCTGCCTATGGCAAAATGCTTACTATTTGTGCAGTGATGCATGGGCATGTAATGGGTTATGTACCCCAGTAAAATGACTGTGGGGTGGTTCCTGGCTGGTTTGGCATTCACTGCGGACAGAGCTGTGTGTACTGAGCAGTGCATGGTGTGAAAGTAACTCAGTAAAACTGGTGTAGAATTTACTTCAGGTTCTCACTGTTTGCATGGTGGTTCATCCATACTTTGTACCAGTTTGGTTTGACATTGACTGGCTTGTCTGTGTTTTTCTTTTGATTTGCCCTTCATAAAACATCTTTGTTGTAGACATTTTGTCTATTTCACAAAGGTCTATGATGTGACCCTTTAAACTGGATATTTTCTAAACTGATCAGCCCCAGATTACATACATATGCTTTCTCATGGTTTTCAGCGGATTCTTCAGTACAGTATTCTAACAGTCATAAGAGAGGCTTTAGAAACAGTTCTTTTCATAACATAAAAAAATTAAAATTCAGTAAGGAAATGAATGATGAATGTGTAAACATCAAGATTTTTAAAGCAATTTCTTTTTCTCAGTGGGATAACAGTCTCATGCATTATCACAGTTTGCAGAACAAGACAAAAAAAAAGAAAAAAAGTACAAGGACTATATGCATGAAATAAAATGTATTAATATGGTATGGCCATCCTGTGGCCATGAAAAGTACTGTGATATATTTTTTCTCAAGAAAAAATAATATTAAAAACCAAGTTTTGGTTCAGTTGCTTAATTTTGATGACAACCATGCCCCGAACTTAGTGTTTTCATAAAGCCAGAATGAATAAGCAGTAATGTAATTGCTTGTATGGGCTGAGAATTTCTAATACTGAACAGATTTTCTTTTTTTAGTTAAAAAAAAATCAGATTAGCCTAATATAAAATATGTGGAAAAAGGTGCAGGTGTCTCTGTCATAGCAGCAGCCATTGGATTGCCGAAGGCTATGGCTTTACAACAAGGTGCTTTCAATGAGTTTCAACATTCATATGAGCTGTAACCAAAGTTGGGTATTTTTGTTTGCTTTACTCAGCTGGAATGTCATCGATTCCAGGCCAGACTACAGACCCAGAATAAATCAGTGCATTTCAGAAACACTGATGAATTTATTTGTATTTCTTCAAGAAATGTCTCACTTCAAGGAGCAAAACCCTGGCAAGGTAAGCACTCCCAAGTAAGTTTAAGTTCTATATAAGAAAGCAGGCAAAAAGAATGGAAAAATAAAATGCACATTCTGATAGTTTCAATCATGAGTTTCTGCTGACTTTTTCGCTGTGGAAAGAACATGGGTAGGTAGTCAGTGAGAGAAGCTGTTCAGAGTTAAGTTCATAGCAATACAGTCCTTCCCCTTACAGCTGTTGGGAATGTCACCAGTTATTCCATGGACTTTGTAAAGGAAATTTAAAGCATCACAATTTAATAAAAACTTGCAAAAAAACCCAAAAAAACAGTAACATGGTCATGTTCCTAAACATAGACCTTTTTTTTTCCTCAAATAACTGCTGTTTTCAGGATTAGCTTTTCTTGCAAACAGGCCATTTGGAATTAGCAAATAGGAAATATGTAGCACCACACTCAAATATTAGCAGTTTAGACTGAAGATACAGATAAGCAACAGGATAAAATACATTTAAAAATGAAATAAATTATACAAAGAGGAGTTATATGTTTGGATAATAAAGTTATATTTAAAAGAAGTAAGTGCATGTTGAAGTAAGAAAACTCAGTATACAGAATTCCACCATGTGGTTGCATTACAGAGTAACTGTGTGTTAGAGCATGTTGAGATATATGTAATAATGGTTTAGAAAAGCTAATTTTGACAGCGTGTTTTCTCTTCTTTTTCCTGACCTCATTCTCTAGGCCATGTCATTATTTCACTGCTATATTAAGAAGCAAATTAGGCACTGATGCTGTGTGCAGAATTTCTTTGAATTAAACATTTTATTGCAATTCAGCACCAAAAGCAAATGGATTCTTTCTGTAAACTTTCAACAGATCAATTCTGTACTCAGCATTGTGCAGTTGTAAAAGATGCACTGTATTTCTCAGTCATCTCAAAGGCCAAATCACAGATTTTATGCTGAAAATTCATCTCAGTCTTGTTGTTAACAAGGATGCTAGAGTAGCCAACAAACATTAAAGGAATGCTTGCCAATGCATGAGCAAAAACAGTTTCACAAAGTAACACAGCAGGAGAGAGAACCGTAGCTATAGGAAGGATATTTTGCTTTTGTAAGCTTGCAGCAAGTGTACATTGTAGTACTTCAATTAGCAAGTTGGTCTTTTTCCTGCACATTAACTATTCAGTCTTTTTTTTGTAATGCGGGTGAAGTAGTTTCTGATTTTAATAATTACCATGAGCTTGTCAAACCTTTGCAGTAAATGAATAAAAATAGCCTGTTTTTATAATAGAAGAGGGGGCACATCCTAAATAGCCAAAATGGACTGTTTGATGCTTGTTTTCAATGGAAGTGTTTAAAGTGTTTCCTCGCTTAAAAACAACAAACTTCAATTTTGCACTTGATTCTTGATTTCATTTATTAGCATGCAACATTTTTCTTTTGCAAAATGACCTAAACATTTAAATAGTGAAAGTATTAATGGTCAATTTTAATGTTTTTGCCAGTTTTGTCTACTAGTCTGCAGCATATGTACATTTTTCACTGTCTTGGGAAGTTACATTCCTGGAGTTGTCCTCTCTTATGTCTTGTGTAAGTACAGTCTCTTTTACAATCGTGATTTGTGTGCGTGGTTTGTTCATTATTTGGTCTCTGTACAGGGAGTATTTATTTATCTATATTTACACACACATGCAAGTTTGCAGAGGATACCAAGCTGAGTGGTGCAGTTGACAAGCCTAAGGGACAGGATGCCATCCAGGGGGACCTGGACAAGCTTGAGAACTGAGCCCATGGGAATCTTCAGAGGTTTAACAAGACCAAGTGCAAGGTGCTTCACCTGGGCCGGGGCAACCCTGGCTATCAGTCCAGGCTGGGGGATGAACAGATTAAGAGCAGCTCTGTCAAGAGTGACTTGGAGGTGCTGGTGGATGAGAGGCTGGACATGAGTGGGCAGTGTGTGCTCACAGCCCAGAAATCCATCTGTGTCCTGGCTGCTTCAAAAGCAGCATGGCCAGCAGGTCAGGGGAGGTGATTCTGCCCATCTGCTCAGCTCTGGTGAGACCTCACCTGGAGTAGTGCACCCAGCTCTGGGGTCCTCAGCACAGGTGGACCTGTTCTGTTGGAGCAGATCCAGAGGAGGGCCAAAAAGATGATCAGAGGGCTGGAGCACCTCTCCTATAAAGACAGGCTGGGAGAGTTGGGGTTGTTCAGCCTTGAGAATAGAAGATTCCAAAGAACCTTTTTTGTGCCAGTCAGTTCTGAAAGAGGGCCTGCAGGAAAGCTGGGAACAAACATGTTAGTGGTACCTGCTGAAACAGGACAAAGGGTAATGGCTTTAAAGTGAAGGAAGGTAAATTTATATTAGATACAAGAAAGAAAACGTTTACAATTTTTTGTCACATGGAAGTCAGCTTTGAAGTTTTTTTCAGTGTGTTGATTCTGGCACAATGTTGCATGGTCAACAGTCTCAGACAGAGATATGCAGGTGAAGTCAAGATAGTTATAAATGTTATAATCACCATAAAGTGTGCCTTACTAGAAGTAAAACAGGTGCCAATAGGTATGAATACAATGGTATTTTTTGCAATGAGTAGGAATGGCTCCTGGACACTGGATTTGGCATTAGCAGTGTGTCTGACATGGGTGTTTCATGGTGCGTTTTTATGTAAAACTAATTGTATTATGTAAAATTAGTAGTTGTCTTATGTAAATGCATTATTTAAGGTTTATTGTGTAGCTTCTTACATAGCAACATTTCAATACAATTTTTTCTCTCTGTCTTCATTTTTATCACAGTATTGTGTGCCTTTTTATGTCCCTTCCTTAAGTGCAATGAATTTGGACAGAAAGTGTGCAACAAAATTAAGGCTGTTCTGATGAAACTAGATTTTGGAATAGTGGATTATATCAACCAGAAGAAAAAAGAGAGATCTGGTGAGTAATTAATTATAGCCCCAAGTAATGTATTTCCGTATGCAGAGAAATTTTCATTCTCCTTGTAGTCAGTTTGGTTTGTCCTGTGAAGCCAGTTAAAGGTATTTCTTGCTTTGAACATGGCTGCTGTTCTTAGCTTTATAGGGAATGTATGTCAGACTGAGAACAAAAATAGTATTTCATAGAAAGAAACAAGGAAAGCTCATCATACTTTATTAGTGTACTGCTTGTAAGTTTTCAGCAAAAAACTACTTGCTGTAAGTATGCAATATTTATCTCAGTTTAGAGAAGGCAAACTTACCCAGGAGGGAGACTCACTAAAGAGTCTCAAAATAAGTGCATAACAGAATTTTCAGTAAGAGGCCAAACTTTGTTCCAGTATCTAAATAAACCTTGGTTTCACTCCCAGCAGCAAAAAGAATTAATTTTCTTCCCCAAGTACTCAAAAAGCATTTAAGAATTGCAGTAGGATGGCAGCTACAAATTGATCAAGGTTTTTAGCTGGAAAAAGGAGAAATCAATTTGAAACAAAATCTTCCCTACCTCAGCTGAAATCTTTCTAACATTGGGAACTTTTAGTTTTTAAGCAATAAATCTATCTCAAGGAAAATATGCAGATAAATAGTGTTATCTTTAGTTTGTTCTTTGTGTATGCTCCAGTTTTGGTAATTAAACCTTTGTGGTGTAGTCACATGACTTGCAGGTAACCAACCTTTATTTTTAGTGTTGCATCAATAGAATTCATATCTGCTTTAAAAGATGCATTTCTTGTAACCATTCAATGTGCCACTCCTAGACCCAGTGAGAAGAACTATCTGCCTTTTGCCCTTCTCTCAAATGTAGTGCAGTAGTTGTTGGAAATAAGGAATAATACATGGAAAATTTTATTTCGTGTATTGTTCTACCTTGTTCAGTTTTTAAGTGAAGCTGGCAGAGAAGGAGATCAGACTATTGTTTCTTAAATTTCCTAAGCCCACACTGGGAACATGGTTGAGGTTAGATGCTTGCTTTCCTGCATCTCACCCTCCAGTTTAATTCAACCCAGACAAGTTGACCTTGCTTTGCTGCTTGGGTTCACCACATGGGTTCACAAACCCTTGTGCTGGCACGAGAGATGAAAGAGCGAGTTTCAAAAAGAGGCAGCCAATAACATAACAACTGTTTTTCATTTTATATTGGTCTAAAAGATTCTCAGACAGAGGAGGCGAAATTTGTGTCTCCGCTCATCTGTAAAGAGCAACATTCTACCAGACCTCAGAGGATGCTTTGTATGTATGCTGTGTATGTTTGCATGTACCTGTGAATGCAGGGCAGCTGGGTCCAAAGGAGAAGGGGTTTATGAAGGAAGATTACGTGCAATTATCCAGAAAATTGCATGTCCTCAGGTAAAAGTGACGTGGTGGGATAATTACACAGCCTGATCTAACAGAGTGTCACACCTGTGCATTGTACCCACAGAGTAGTTTCAAAGATAGATATATATTGCCAGGGCAGATAACATTACAGTGAGCAACAGAGACTCCTGAAGGAAACACAACACAGGTAACTAAATCTGTTGGAATGTATTTCAGAAGAGCATTCTCTCTCCTGCTTTGGCTGCTGTACAATGTATTTTGATAAGCATCGAGCCTCAGTCAGCCTTGTTTCCCTCACCCTAGTAGCATATGACATAAATGATGCACTGTGTCAGAGGGTAAAAGGTTACTGTACTGCACAGGTTGTGTGACAGAGAACACACGCTGAACCTGGAAATCCGTTGTCATGAGTAGGATAAAAAATATATTTTTTTTCTTTCAGAAACAGCAAAAACAAAACCCACAGAAGATGACAGTGAATTAGACATATCAGCTCTGTGTCCTAAGGTGACTTTTTTTCAGTCAGCCCTGTCTTGCTTTTAAAATCTATATAGATAATGGAGACTATCTAGATTACTGTCTCTGTTCTTCTGTGGAAGACTTTAACCTGCCCAGGAGGTTGTGTTCCTGAGCTAAGCAGTATGCTTTAGGAGTGATTCATAGTCTCCATCTTCAGGCTTATACTAATTAACTTACTGCATTTGTGACTTCTGGCCTTCAAGGTAATGGTTTCTTTGGCCTACTGAGCTATGAATTTGTTTATTTTGTGTTGGCTGTAGAATGATTACACTGGAAAGTAATAGCAAATGTGGTTATTTTTATTTGCCAACAGTGAAATTGCAGTTAATGTTCATCAAATTAAAATATAAAAGGGAAACATTCATAGAAAACTTACATATGTCAGATACTTTTGTAATCACTTGTCTAATCATTTTCAATGATAGTATATATTGATATATTATCTATAAATATATTTCTAGATATGTATGAGAACACTAAAATATCTCATTTTTCTCTTAGTGTTGTAAATAACTGTATGGCAAATGTTTTTCTATTATAATCAGAACAGCGGTTGATATTAAAAAGTTCAGCTTAGTAGGAATTATTATGCACTATTTGTTCAGTAGTGCATAAAGCCTGACTTCATCAGTGATCCCTTTGAAGGTGGTTTTGTATTCTGAAAAAAAAGATTATATCCCACGGGATAAATATTTGTAGCTGACATAATTGAATATTGTGAAGGGTAATGGTTTGGTTTTTTTTAGCCAATTTTTGATGGGCTTATAGATAATGGGCTGATTTTTTGATCCAGGTTTACTCATTTCTTTACATTTATGCATATTTTGAATTTGCAGGCTCATTCTACTTTCATTACAGTAGGCTATTACTTCCAGAATGAATAACTGGAGTTTTCTTCTTTAGTATAATATAGCTCTCAGTTACTGCAAAGAGGGATGCTTCACTTCTAGACATTGTATACAATTATTTTCATGTTTTGACAACTAAAGCTTAAATAGGAAGTGATTCATGTTGCTATGACATACAAGAAGGTTGGGGTTTTTTTCAGTATCTAAGCATTGGCTTCCTGTAGTATGAATTTTTTGAGTACAAGAATACCATGTATGGAACTTTTTTCTGTGTAGGTTAGTCCTGCAGTGGCTGCCAAAGAGCTGTCAGTGTCTGACACAGATGTATCAGAAGTATCTTGGACCGATAATGGGACCTTTAATTTATCTGAGGGGTATTCTCCACAGACTGACACATCTGATGGTATGTAATGGCTTCATCTATCTCATCCATGAATTTCAGGCATCCAGGTTACCTGAAAATGATTAGAGAATTTGAGGACAGACTTTTTTGGATTGTTACTTTTCCCCCTGAAATGAATTTAAGATTAATTCCAGTGTTTTGTGTAGTTTGGTATACACCTTGTGCAAGAACTCTCCTCATCTTAAAAATACTGACATACATCAGCAAGTGTCTAAATAATTAGGTAGTGCTAGGTAAAACCAACGCAATCACTAAGTGATGGATTTAGCTCTCTTCCACCAAACCCTTTAAGCAAGTAAACCTTTTAAGTTACTCCCAGTGCTTTTGTGAGTAAGCTAAACAAATAAAAGATGAGGAAGGAAAAATGAATACTTTGAATTGTTAAACAGCTAATTAAAGAAAGTATTATTAGGTTTTGTTACTAGTATGCTAATGAAGACAGCCAACAATGAGCCTAAATTAGATATGAAGACTAAGGCTAGGGAAAATGTTCTCAAGCACTTGCCTTGATCTTGACCAGATCTTTAAGTTCTTACTTCTTACAGATCAAGATACCTGTTAGCACTTTGCCTGAATAAAGATTAAGGACAACAGTCTTCTCTGTGGATCTGTTGCTCTGCTCATCTTGCACTTCTCCCAGGAAAAGTTCATTGACAAGAAGGGTGATACTACTTAATGTCATTATACAGAAAAAATGAATAATTTAAATTATTTTGGTAATATTTCAAATTATAAACAGACAGCATTGTACAGTCACAGAATCATAAGTTGGAAAGAGCCATTGTCATTCATCTCATCTAACCTCCTATTCAAACCAGGTACAGCTTCATGAAGTTTCTCAGGGCTGCATTTGAATTTTGAACATCTCCAGTGGTGGAGATTCAGCAACCTACTTGGACAGCCTTTTTCAATATTTGCTCACCCTCATGATGAAAAAGATTTTTCTTAGAGTGAGTCAAAATTTTCCATCCTTTCACTGGGTATTTTCTGGAAGAGTCAGGCCCATCTTCTCTATACCTTTCCATTCGGTGGTTACATTATCTGATTCCCCCTTTGCCACCTTCTCTGAAAGCTGAACAAGGCCCATTCTCTCAGCACCTCCTCATATGTCCTGTTCTCTACCACCTAAATAACCATGCTGGCCCTCCAGGAGACTCAGTCCTGGCTTTCATTGTCTTGGACTAGAGAGATCAAAACTGGACAAAGTGCTTCAGTGTATACTCTCAACTGCTAAACAGAGAGGGAAATTCCCTTCCATTGACTTCCTGCCTTCATTGTTGCCATTACAGCTCAGTGTGTGGTTGGCCTTCCTTGCTGTGAGGGTGTAGCATTGACATGCTGTCCATAGGGCTTCATCTTGAAAGCCTCTTTCTGTCTCACTGCCCCCAACCTGTACTGCTGCACAGGTTATTGCATCTCAGCTGCAGGACTTCACATTTGCTTTTGTTGAATGTCATGATGTTTCTTTTAGCCTGTTCCTTTCTCCAGCCTCTTGAGGTCCTTCTGAAGGTGTGCAGACCTCCAGAATATCACATACACCTGCCCCACAGCAGTTTCTTTCTGCCCGTGAACTTGCAGAGTTTCCATTCCATCCTGTCATCCAAGTCATTAATAAAAGCGTAGAATAGTGTTGGTTTCATACCTTTGACAGACACAAGTAACCTGCCTCCAGCTGGATCTTTTGTTGCTCTTTGACCCTGGCAGTCCAGCCAGTTTTCCACCCACCTTACAGTTCCCCTACCTTGTTTGCTCACCGGTTTGCCTGTCAGGATCATGTGGGAAACTACGTTCAAGGCCTTGCTAAGTAAAAAATAAAGTACATCCAGTCTTCTCCCCTGCGCAGCATTTCAGCAAATGTGACATACACAAAGTGCCAGACCAAGTGGGATGCATCCAAGGACTGGCTCATCTCCTGTCAAAGCTCTGTGCTTTTGAGTCACCATTGTGCATACAGCACAACCCTTCTTCCTCACCTTCCCTGTCTGCCTTTCCTAAAGAAAATAGAGAAAATTACATGAGACATTTTTTGGATTTATTTCCTTATGAATGTTCCTATTGCTTGTTTTCGTAGAAAGTAAGTTCAAAATTATTTTTTTTACTGATTATTGTTTACATTATTTTTCTTGTTCAAGGACTAGATCACAGTATTCCCTAGTGCTCATATAGGCCTCTTCCACAGGCCCTGTACTGTACAGTAATAACAAATGCTGTGTTGTTAATGCAGCCATTAAAATTTAATGTTTTATTTCTTTACATTCTAGTTTTTATCCTCTTGAAAACATGAAACAATCCTGACCATCTGTAGAATTTTCATTTCTGTTTCCTATTTCATACAAACATTGGCCAAGAAAGGAAAAAGTTATTAATTAAGTCTTTGCATTGGTTTTAAACACATAAACATTGTTTTTATTACTCTACACGTACATTAAAAGCTTGTAACACATCCACACGTTTACATATTTGAAATTTATAGATATTGTGAAGGAAAATAGTTTAGAGACCTGTTGTTGCATGTTATATTTTAAGACTTTATGTGGTTGGTATATTTAGAAATATCTGTGCCAAGGATTTGCATGGGTTGTTTCATTACAGCTAGATAACTAGGTATTTTGCTCAAATAACCTGAGTTAGGTCAATACCAGGTGATTTGTGGTATTAGATTTATGACCTCAAAACCATTTTGGTTTAGACTGAATAAAAAAGCTCCTTCTCATTGAGACTATAATACTGTACTAGGGTATGGATTAGAAAATGTATTCAAAGTGGCTCTTACTAATTGCATTTTTACATGTGGCTGCCCTTTGAGGGAGACCTTTTGTTGGTGCTAACACTGTTTCCTTCTGTTAACCCTGTCATAGATTTTGACCGACCTAGTGATCAGGAAGAAGCTTTCACTCGAGATCTTTTAGAATTCCCTTCTTTAGAAAACGGTGCTGGAACAAATGACGACGATGACTCAAGCATCGGAATGCCCAGCCAGCAGAAACGGAAAAAAGAGCAAACACATTTCAAGGCGGATCATGCTTCCACACAAAGTAAAGAGAGACCATCTGCTGCAGGGCTGTCCTTGCCTTTGACCAGTGACCAAACCTTTAATTTAGTGAGTGGAATTGCTGGAGATGTCATCGCAGCTGCAGTGTCTGCTGCCATCAAAGACCAGTTGCAGGCTGCACAGCAAGCTGCCTCACATACAGCACCCAGTTTGAGCGAGGAGACAGACACAGAGGAAGCTGATGATTTTGAACTGCTTGACCAGTCTGAGCTAGAGCAGATTGAGAAAGAATTGGGACTTTCACAAGGCCAAGAAGCAGAATCCCAGGAAAAGAAAAAATCTTCAGGCTTCCTTTCAAATCTGCTTGGAAGTCATTAACCAATTGCAGCTGGTAACATAGAAGAAATTAAACATAAAACATATGCAAAAAAAATCAAATGCAAAAAAAAAGAAAAAAAAAAAGGAAAATTCTGAGCTGTAAGCTTTAACTATTCCTTTAGATATGTTGTAATAATTTCCCTTATGCAGAGTGAATTAACTGGATAAATATCAGCTGATACTGATAGTTTAATGTTTCTGGTAGTTATACATCAATGTAATAGCATGGAAATGAATTATCTATCCACTGTTTGGATGCAGATGAGTGTTGAAGGTCAGTTGTTCAAAAGAGTTAGGGCAGAGGGGTTTTTTTGTCTTTTTGCCAACCATTTATTTTGGGGTCCTGAGCCAAATTTTCAACATTGGCAGTTTATTTACTCTTGGTTGCCAACCATGTAACACAATTAATGACTCACACAGAGAGGGCAAGTTATCAGAGGACTGCAATGAGATTAACTAAATCTCACCTCCTTCTATCATACTGAAAAGTATGGATCCCTGCAGTTAGCATTATGTGTAGTGCACCTACTATATACAAAACACATTAACCAGCACAGCTCTAGTTTAAATGTGTGCAACACTATAAAAAAAAACCTTCTTGATCACATACTTAAAACCTTTGAATTATTTTGGATATGGTGATGCATTTCCAAGTTTTTTGCTGTTTTAGGCTTGTAGAGTTGTAAAGTGGTATGTTATTTGACTGACCACCTGCTGTGTTTGTTGATGGAGTCTAGTCCTTGGCAGTATTGCCCATGTGAAGTCAGCCAATGAAGTTTTATATTTAAAAGTGAATATTGTGTAAACAGAACAACATTTTTGGGAGCAGGTGAGGGTAACTATTATTTGGAATAGAGGTTAGAGGTTAAAAAAAGCATAAAGGCTTTTTTTAGGTGCCATTTCCATAATTCGAGATTCTGTAGGTTTTGGTTTGGTTTTTCCCCCCAGGATAGCTGCTGCCACTTGCAACAAAAGTTGTGTTTCTAGCTGAATATTGTAAGATACTTTAAAGTATTTGGTGAGGTCATTTCTAGAGAAGACACTCGGAATCTTCTTGGCATGTAATTTAAATCAAAAAAGAACTTTGAATCATTTGCCAGTTTAAACTCCACACATGCTGAGTGAGTGGCATGGGATCTTTAGCAGGTAACTTATTTTTGTAGGGCTTTTTTGTTTACCTGTGACAAAACTGAATCACAATACCAAGCAATAGTAATCCAAGAAATAGGAAGAAGTAAAGCTAGGTTTTCTTAATGTGATGTAAACCATTAGCAAAGTTGAGGGACCATGTCAGCTGCTACTGCTACACAAGTTAATTTCCATTTGCTGGCATTTGAAGAGGTGAATACTGTCATCTAGGACCCTCAGAAAGTACAGCAACAGATGATAAAAATCTTCCACTAACATATATGTATAAGTAAACTTGTCTTTAAAGTTAACTTCATTTTATATTTTTTTCTGTTTGAGGTGAAAAAATAGATGGCCAAAAAGAGTATAGTGAAAGGAAGGATGCTGAGAATTTTTGACACTAGCTTTATTGTTGCTTGTGCTTTTGTGTCAGTAATGCATATTGACCGTGTTTGCTGTCCTTTACCAGTAAAAAAGTAAGCCTGTGCCTTCATTATCAAATACATTACAAAATAAGTGGATGCTGGATATAGATCCCACAAGATGCAGATTTCGAAATCACTTTATCTTAACATCAAAAGTGAGTTTCTGGAAATCATTACAAACCGTGGCCCACATCACTTCCACAGCATTGGTTGCTAAGTTTCCTTTTTTAGCTTTCCCCAGCCTGTCCTTCTTATTTGAAAAAAAAATCCCCAACAAACCAAAACAAAAGAAACCCAACCAAAAAAGACAAGCTTTTGCTGGAAAACCAGTAAGTTCAAAGACCATTTAAATTTCCACAGATGACTAAAAAGCCTCATTTCCTTGCTGCATGTTTAGGACAATCTATACAGTTAGAAGAGTACAACATCCAAGTTGCTGAGGAAACTTTGTAGGACACCCAAACAACTGTGTGCTTCCTTGTCCAGGAGTACTGGTGCCAGGAGGGGAAACAGGCTGTGGGACAGGGAGAGGTGGGAGGGGGGGAGCAGTCCTTCACAGGCTTTTCTGGAGCAGACTGACGGGACAGGCCAGCTGGCTGTCAATGGTGGCATTACAACAGTGTGCACTTTATTGTTGTTTTATGAAGAATACTTGTGGTTATAAAAGTATGTAACACAGGGCACTGATAGAATAATAGATTAGATCAGAAGGCAAAGCAGTTTCCCAGACTTTTTGTAAATGATCCATTTTCTGGTTTCAAGATAGAAAAATAGATCAATTTTTCTCCAGTATGAGTCTCATATATGTTTTTCCAGAAAGAAAAATAAAAAACACAAAGCAAAATTCAAAGAAGTAAATCATTAAAGTTAGGGACACAGTTGCTTCTTTCAGTGTTTTCAGAGTTTTATTTTTCTGCTGTCATGGTAAGCGATTACATTCGAGCCCCTAAACACTGTGCAATGGGAAGGAGGTAATTCTGTAACATTTAATATTCTCCCTCAGGTAGCAAAAAGATGCATAATTTTCTGCAGAAAATTATCTCTTCCCTCCCAAATAGCCGCATGTAAGAAACACTTTGCTCAGACATGATACATTCCACTGCCAGCAGTTTGACAGCAAAACACAAAGAAAACGTTTCTCTCCTTTGTGGATCTCTTCCACACTGCCTTCAGTTGGAAATCCCTTGAGAAACCTTCATTTTGCTGTATTCTAGCAGCAGCCACGAGATAGCAGTTACTTAAAAATTCCTGTCACAGTGGTCCACAGCGTCTTTCCTACCGAGCAGTGTCGTCACCTTCCCGTTTTCCAAACTGAATACATGGGCAGGAAGACAGGCAAGCAAGTATGGGGTAGTACAGAGCTTTGAAACACACAGTTGTTCCACGGAAAGCCTGTTTGCATGCAATTTCCAGTCAAGAGGCGTACAGGTAGTGTAGAGGACATAGCATGAGCAAATGCCATGGGGTAACACAGTGTGTGATCTTGCCCTGGGGTCTGTCCTGCCTGCACTGCGTGGTGTGCTCTTGCCTGGCAGTCAACAGAGGGTGCCATGTATTTTTGCAGTAGTGTGGTTAAAGTGCTCTCCCTGCCTTGCCTTGCAGTGGCTTCTTCACACATCCTGATTGGGAGAAAGTGACATGTCAGGGCAGGGTCTGTGGGGCGTGTTTCAGTCCTTCCTACTCAGAAAATTTGCCCTTGTGTCAGTGCCTGTAGGTGACAGGCGGAGCGGTCGCCTCCTGGTCAGTGACCTCAGGTGTGTGTTAGACCTCTGTTCTCAACACGCAGAGCTTTCCATGTGTGCCACACCTACTGACCATCCTTTGTCTGTGAAAACAAATAGATTCTATGCAGAGGAGGAGAAATAATTGTAACCCAAAGTTATCTGAAGAGATACTCGTTCTACTTGTTCTGTGTCCGTTCCACACTTTTCCCAGGCTGTCCCAGCCTTCCGAACGCAGTCCCTGTGGTCCCCACGTCCGTTCTCAGCAGCATCGCGGTCTGTGAGTTACCCCCCGGCCCGGGCAACCAGAAACTGGAGAGTTACAAAACGTCTTCATTTAAAGTATTCTGCAGCACTTTACCTGCCCGATCACTGTTTTGTAAAAAAAAACATGGAACTATTATTATACCGATCGTTTGTAAGACCATTTAATAAAACACCTGTTAGTTTTTATCTTTCATCGCCTCGTTGTGTGTTTGTCCTCGAAAAAAAAAAAGAAAGGAAAAAACCCACTCTCTGACGACTTTTTACAGAGAGAGAGTGGTCAGGCATTGGAATGGGCTGCCCGGGGAGGTGGTGGATTCACCATCCCTGGAGGTTTTCAAGATGAGACTGAATGTGGCACTTAGTGCCATGGTCTAGTGACCACGGTAGGGTTGGACTCGGTGATCGTTGAGGTCTCTTCCAACCCGGTTGATGCTGTGATTCTGGGACAAGCAGAACCCGCAGCCGGCTGAGCGCAGTTGTGAGTGCTGTCCCGTGGCGCTGGTTCCTCCGCGCCGGCAGGGGCCGCAGTTCGAGCGGCACTGCCCGCCCGGCCG